GATGAATCGACATTGCACGTACAATACTAACATCGAATCAACTTCTCTCCTTTGTACACACACGTAATAAAAGCATTTAACGGAGAGTAAAAATCATATTTAGTGTCTTTAAACAGTAGACAGAGACGATGCCAACGTTCGCGTAGATCAAGTTCGTGACATAGTGTAGAGAGACGTACAAAAAACGCGTAGAGAATCATAACGAAAGCATAAAAGACAGGTAAAAACAAGCTATTGTGAGTAACATTCATTGATTATTAGAACGATAGAACCGTTAAGAATTCAAAGGAAGCTATCTCATAAAAAGGCAACAAAGCTAAGCATTAGCCATCAAAGTAGCCACAACAGGAAAAGCAATCAGAGACATTAAAGGCAGCTTTCCAAAACAAATATGCTTAAAATAGCATTGTTCACTAAAACGGAAAGCAAAAAGATCCACTATGAGGAAATAATTTTGCTTTATCAATCAAACATAAGCAAATGGATTTTGGGAAGCACTAGTTATGAAAAGCAAAACTACTACATGTTCAATTGCTCAAGAAGAATTTATTTCGAAAGGTTAGAAACAACGTTTTCTCTTTTTAATTGCGAGATCCAGGAAGCGAATCCATGAAGTTTTCCTTTGTTAAATCGGATTTTTCATTCAGCTGGAGGTAGCTTTTAAATCCAGTTAGTTGAGATTTCAGTGCATCAACAGAAGATGCGTACAACATTCGTTCGCGAACACTCGCATTATCAGGAATCCTAGAAAATAAGTCCCAATAGGTTCGGTCACGTACCACGAAATGAAAAGCAAATGCGATTTATTGTTGTCAGACTCAAAATCAAGGACAGCGTAGCGCGCACTCTTTTCAAGATTCTCTAGCTCTGCTTTGAACTGATCAAACGTACAATCTATAACAGGAGTAAGAAGATTCAAAAAAGCCTACTTCTGTCACCAATTTGATCGATGACAATCTCTTTCTGATCTTCAATTTTGTACAAAATATAGCGACAAGTTTTCTTCAACTTGAGTTCATTATATTTAGCCAGACAGTCGTCTGAGCACTTCACCCCAGAAGTCTAACGAAAACACAATCACAGTAAGGCAAGCACCAACCATCTTCTACAGATATTCGAAATTGTGTGTCATAAACGGCTGCAAGATATTTGACAAAACAAAACACAGAATAATTAAAATTTAACATTACAAATTATTCATGTAATAAACTTATTAAGCATGTATCCGCTTTTGGAAAAATTTATTTAGCAGAAAATTGTGTATGTCTTTTGCAACTTGGAACACTTAATACTCTAGCAAATGCAAGCTAGACACATGAATGCTCATGCGATATTCATGCAAAACAATTGTGCATTGTTTAAAATTTTAACAGAAACATTCATTTTTATAGACTAGAGGGCATCAGTGAGATGTATCCACAT